CAGAGCAGAGCGTGGAACAGTTTCTCTGGCGATGAAAGCTTGTGGGCCGTAGAGCCCTGTGAGTTCAGCTCACAGCCCTTGTCTGGCTGTTAAACTCAGCGGGCAGCTGCTCCTCCACCCTGCTTCCCAGATCTGAGACAGGACACGGCCATAGCTCGAACCATCCTCATGAGTGCACTGCCAGCGCGCCTTCCGCTGCCGTGCTGCACCTGTGGAGCTGGGCAGGGCTGTCCCATGTAGAGGCACTTTGGCAGGCGTGAGGAATTACTGGGGAGGCCTGCTGCTAGCCCACCCCCACACGCCCCAGCAGCGGCAGAGCAATCCAGCCCAGCCTGCTCCGTTGGGCCATCTCCTGGCTGGGATGCTCCGCTTCGCTGTGGGTGGTGGCAGGAAGCAGTGAGCTGGCTCCAGCCTGCTCCGCTGCCTCAAGTAGAAACTGGGAATCCTGGGAGCTGGGCTCAGGGAAACAGAGCAAGCTGGGGCTGCTGTAGTGAGTGTGGGAGCCCAACCCCTGCACCCAACCCAAGGCTACCCCAAGTCACACTGCTTGGGAAGGGAGTGCAATGGGGGCAGGAGCAGATCGGGGGTGAGGACAGGGGGAAGGGCAGAGCAGGGACGGGAAGAGGTAGGATGGGGATGGAAGGTTGTCCTGGGCCTCACTGCTCCCCCCACTCCAGCCCTGGAGCTCATATCTGGATGTTTCCTGGGTGCTGTCAAGGTGGAGGGTGGACAGCTCCCTGAGCCAGGAGAGGAAAAGGGGCTGGATCCCCCAGCTCTCAGCGGCGTTTCACCACAGATAGCTGGGGAAGTTCCAGCTGTCCCATCCTGCACCTTCCCTGACCAGCCTACAGACCTCGGGAAAGCCTCCCCCCTTGGTGCCAGTGCAGCTTCCTGGCTTTATCGGCAGTGCAATCTACTGAGAAACAAAGCAAGCTCCCATTCTGCTGGCTCTAGCCCCGCCGGAGCAGGGAGGAAAGGCCAGGGAAGCACGCAGCGACTGGCACTGGGTGCGCCAAACATCCAGAGGGGCTGAGACCAAGCGCTCATGAAACCCCACACTGATGCATTTACACTGGGCCCACATGGGCTGGACGAGGTTCTTTGGGAGCAGCCGCCCCCAGCACATAGCTGAGTGAGGCTGGAATAACTGTTCTGCTTTCATAAGTGAAGCCGCCTGTGAGGCATGTGGGGCAGAGCACGGGCCCAGGCATACAGCTGGCGAGCAAAGCAGGTCTGCATGCTGCGGCACGGGGCCCAGGTGCCTCCAGCCACGCAGGCTATCTTACAGCACCAGCCTGGCCCCTCCTTGGGCTGCTCCGCAAACATCAGACAAGCAGCTTTCTGGCAGGGAGAGGGGAGAGTGCAGAGCAAGCCCCGCAGAGCTGGGCAGGGTTGGCTCAGAAGCACAAACTGGGCCCTCAGTCCACTGTCTCCAGGGGACAAACGGTGGGAAATACCCCCAGGGCTGGGGTATGTTCTTGGCTTGCGTTCCAACACCGCCCTGCCCCCATGACAGGCCATGTCTGCACGGTCATGCTGGATGAGCTTGCTCGGTTTAGTACGACACTGTGTAAAACCAGTGCCCTGTGGGGGCGTAGATGGGCTCTTTGCTGGGAACAGCAGGTGCTTTTCCACCCAGGACACCTTCCGCCAGAACTCCTGGTTTGCCCTCTGCTTTCCAGAGGCGGAGGAGAAAGACTAGCAGATGGATCAAGGGATTCCCTGTTCCCTGGTGGCTGCCCTGGTCCCCAAGATGAGCGATTTGCTTAGGAGCAGGTTTCATTCACTTCCCTTCTCAGTCTAGTCTTTCCAAAGCACACAGTGTCCGCGTACATCCCAGAGCCAAGCACAGGCCAGTCACGATCCAAGTCAGAAAATCCTGATTGCTTTTGGCAATACCAGACTGAAGCATGGCCCTCAGCAGGCACGCCAGCTCTGCCCTTTCCACATCCCCCTTCAGCCTCCAGCCTGCTGCCTTCATCCTCAGCACAATACGAGCCAGTCGGATCCGCCGAGGGAGCCAGTCAACACCATACACGCCACTCACCTGCGGCTGCCGGGCTGCAAACCCTAAAGAAAGCCCCTCCCAGCACTCCTGTAAGGGCAGAAAGAGGCACAGACAGGCAGGCTTCCAATTGTTTCCCTGCAGCCCTCAGGAGAGCTCACCGCCTGGAGCTTTCCACAGCGGCTGCAAATGAGCGTTCTAGTGAGAGTCCTTCCAACACACGGGGGAGGAAACCGAGATTCCAACCCCAACGGCCGGGTGAAGCAGCCTGATTCCAAACACCTGCTGCTGCACAGCACCAGCCGACGGGCAGCAGAGCCCTGGGCCCCAGCAAGTCAGGAATGGCAGATTGTGCCCCATCGTTTCCAAATGCACCTCAGTGCCCTGTGGCTGACTGCATTCAAACCCCAATGCGAGACACAGGAACAGGCTGGCAGCCACCAGAGAACGGTGCTGTCCTTCCAAGCCCCGGCCCTCTGATTTCGTTGTCTGCTTGCTCCTTGCTGTGCATGAAGAGGCGATGGCCCTGGCTTTCCTCCCTCGAGCTGGAATGTCTCATGAAGGGTCACAAGGGATTCCCTGTTCCCTGGTGGCTACCAGCCCACTCATGGGGTCAGTGTGCAGGCGGCAGCAAAGCCCTTTTGCCAGGGGACAGCCACAACCCTTCTGGGCTAGGAGTAACTCACTAAGGCTACACCCCTGTCAGCAGAGGGATGTAAATTAGATGTATCGAAAGTGCGAATGAAGCCAGGATTTAAACATCCCGCACTTGATTTGCATAATGGCAGCCGTCACTTTTTTCCTAAACAGGCCCTTTCAAAAAAAAAACCAGCAGTTTAGACGGGGCGTTTTCGACAGAAATGCCCCGTTTTGAAAGATCCTGTACTCCTCATTTTGGAGTATAGTTTAGACATAGCCTAAGAACCTGAATCAGGGGTGGAAAATAATTTTTAAAAGAGGGCCTCCCTGGAAGGGACAGGGCCTCAGGCACAAGGGGCGGGGCCAGACATTTTTTTGTGCCCCCCCCCCCCCCGCATTGGTCTGGGATGAGAGAGAGTGAGAAGTCTTCTTCCTCCTCCCCCCCCACAGCTGGTGGGTCCCTCCAGGCACCTAGTGGGAGGAGACCTCATGCACTCGCCTGGTCCCCAGGCCAATCAGAGCCTGGTGGTGGGGAGCGCGTGAAGTCTTCTCGCCCCTGCAAGAGCGTGCAGCAGCTAGACACAGGCCAGCTGTTTTGTCTCTCTAGCCCAGGGGTGGGCAAAGGGCCCTCTGTGGGCTGGATTTGGCCTGTCAAGCAGGTGGATCCAGCCCGCGGCTGCCCTGCCACTCCCCTGCTTCTAGGCCAATCTGGGCCTAGAGGCAGCGGAGCGCGCGGTGGCTAGAGAGACGCGGCTGTTTTAAAACAGCTGGCGTGTCTCTCTAGCTGCACTGTGCTTTTGCAGGGCCGAGGAGACTTCATGAGCTCCCCGCGCCTGATTGGCCTGGGGGTAGGGGAGCGGCAGGCCAGATCCACAGCTTTGGCAGGCCAGATCTGGCTCGTGGAGGGCCCTTTGCCCACCCCTGACCTGAAGGCTGCCATGCCCCTTGCACCTCACCCACTGCCAACACGGGGGCAAAGCAGCAGACCAAACACTCATCTGGGAAAGCCACAAAGGAGCTACCTGCCCAGGCAGGCACAAGTAAAGTGAATACTCCAGGAGTCACCTCGAGGTCAGCTGAGCCAAGCAGTCCCTAACTCCCATGCCAAAGAGAGCGAGGCTCATTATGTCCAGCTCATCAGAACTGAAAGGCAAATCACTTCCTTCAGAATCTCTGGCACGTTCTTACCCGCGGCTTGGGAGAGGCCAGTGCCTCGCCTGGCAACCCCCAGAAGAGCCCCATACGGGGTGACACAACACAGCAAAGGCACCTGGAGTTTGCACACTGCCGTGGACCGGCACAGACTCAGTGATACGGGGCACAAGGGTCAAGAACAGGTGGTTTTTTTCATTTGGATGGAGAAGAAACAACAGTTCACAACTGAACATGCAGACTTCAAACAATAGAGCAAAATGCCCCAGGGTCCCAAGTCCCGGGAATTCACAGAATTCCTCCTGCCCCAGTGTGACATGAGAGAGCATTTACAGCGACCACCAAAAGCTGGCCCAATCAGTGTGGGACAGTAGCTGCCTCCCTCATGCCGGTGAGGCCAGTGTTGTTAAATGCAGCCCAACAGCGATTCATGGAGAGGCCCAACAGCACTTCACTTGTCTCTTTTCAAGCCCCACAGATAGCCAGCACACGCACCAGATCCCTACCAGTCAGGGTCAGCAGCTAGGAATGCAAACAGCAGGGGGAGAGGGTGCGGCTCTCAAACTTCCCTCTTGTTTTACTGTCAATCAGGAGACGGTTCCCTCATCTCTGAGGACCACCAATGTGCAGTCAGGCCTGGCAGCTCATGCTACCTGCTGCTCACCTCCCAGGAGCCAGGATCTGTTCCAACACCCGCGGCTGGAAGGCGCAGCAAACACAATGCTCTCCTAGGGTCTGCATTTGCGCCCCAGGGGGCAGGCAGGGCACAGAGAGTCCTTGGGGGTCATCCGCCAGCACTGGCCAGGAATTACACAACAAACTAGCAATTTTAGAATGGCCCACAAACAAATAAAAGGAGACTCTAGGAGCTGCTGCGAACTCTGCCCTCTCCTCTCAGGCAATGGAAGGGAAGCCTCTCGCTGGGCCATCTCCTGTCGGCTGGCTCAGGGCAGGCCTGGCAGATGGCACACACCGACACAACACTGGGGAGAGCATTGCTGCTAGCACTGCCGGCTGTTAGGGCCCCTGCCCTCGCCTGAAATAGTTCTCAATCTGCTGGTCAAAGCTCTCTGCAGAGCACTGCTTTAGGGTGTTTAATGGAGCAAGCAAATACTCTTCCGCAAGCCCACGGGCAACAGGACTGCTGGCATGCCACAATCACCAGCTGCTCCTGGGGGAAGAAATTCCTCAGGCTGCAGGAAGGTTAAACTCTGTCTGTGCGAGGGGAGAGCTGCCTTCCTCTGTGCGGAGGCCAGCAGTAAGGGTGTCCAGTCCCCCGGGGGAGGCTGGCATGGGGTGGGGTGGGCCGCTTGTTTCTTCCTTGCATGCCAAGATAAAGGATTTGTGTGGGGCCATGCTCGGCCCTCTGCGCTGCTTTGGGACCGGCAGGCATCAGCAGGAAGGTTAAACTCTGTCTGTGCGAGGGGAGAGCTGCCTTCCTCTGTGCGGAGGCCAGCAGTAAGGGTGTCCAGTCCCCCGGGGGAGGCTGGCATGGGGTGGGGTGGGCCGCTTGTTTCTTCCTTGCATGCCAAGATAAAGGATTTGTGTGGGGCCATGCTCGGCCCTCTGCGCTGCTTTGGGACCGGCAGGCATCAGTGTCCTGTGGTGGCGGCAGCTGCGTTCTGGCAGGTGTCCGTGTATTGGGCTGTACTGACAACAGCTGCCTATGGAAATCATGCACCTGGCATAACTCCACTTTCGTTCCCGTCCTCTCCCCTCGGCAACATCCAGGGCTGCCTTCTGAATGGGTGGCAGGCAGTCTAGGCTGCTCCGAGGAGCAATGCTGGCTGGTCTTCCCCCCCCCGAAACACTCCAGCCATTCAGTCCAGTTCTCTGGGTGCGCAAAGGAGTTCTTAGGCACAGGCTGCAGGGTAGCTGTTCCCAGAGGCTCTGCAGCTCCTTGCTGCTCCCTGCTCTCTCTGAGCTGTGTGAACTTTTGCCCAGACTCTGGAATCTGGGGCTCAGGAGACGGCTTGTGGTTGGAGCTCAGGTATTTCTCAAGGTACGGGAGGCACACGTTTCTCTTGACAATTGGGACTATGGAGCAGGGATTCAGCCACTCTACAAACTCCAGGAGCTCCAGGAAGGAGGAGTGGTCTGAGTAGCGCACGAGGTGAACCCTGGGGTGGGCGATCTTCATCGGGCGGCTGGTGGGGAGAATGGCAATGGTGGGGCATTGCTGGTTCCATTTGACCATGGATTTCCAGGAGATTTCCGAGAGGTCCACGCCGTGGATCCAGCCAGCCCCTTCCTCGGTGGTGAACACGTCCACCAGGCCCAGCACTTTCATCTCCTCCAGCCTCTTGGGACTCACCACAATCCAGGTGTGAAATTCTAAGGCCAAGTCCACCAAGAGCGACTCTTTGCCCAGGCTGTAGGTCCCTGGGAAAGAGCAAACAAGGGGCTCAGGAATTCAGACCTAAACAGCATTTTGCAAAGGCAGCAAGAAGAGTGCCTGGGGCCGTTACCAAACTAGGGATGAGGGGCATGGGGACTACAGGAGGGCTGTGCCCTGACAATCCCCGCTGGAGGGGAAGGACAACCACCGCCTGCCTGCATAGCACACCTCAAAGTCATGAAAATGTTCCTGCATAGTCACCAAGTGGGACGTAAGTTTATTCAGAGGAGTATAAAGCTGCCGTCTGATTGGCAAACATGCTCATTATATCTCCTCTATGCCAGTCAGCCCGGGCTCAGCGAGCTGCCTCTCCCACCTCGTGTCCCCTCCGGCGTGATTCCCTCCCATCAGGCACGGAGTGCCCCAGAAGTGCAGTCAGTTACCGGGCTCTGGGAACCAGCCCCGCGCAAGCACCTACTCACCAATCTTGACCTGGTGCTTTGGGTGGGCCCTGATCAGCTCTTTGATCTGTTCAGTGGCCTGCCGTCGAGAAGGCAGTTTGACCAGAGGGTCGCAGTTTGTGTTGTCCAAGTAGAGAACGTCAATTTGTTTCTGGTTCCTTAAGGCTGGTTCCTGCCGCATGGTGGGAGTGTAACGAAAATCACCTGCACGAGACAAAATCCAGACTACACAGAAATGTGGGGAGCCCAGCCTGGTGGTTCACTTGCTATATGGCCATGGCAGAGATCTGGCTTAGATCCTCTGCCTGCCAGACTGGGAACAGAGCAGGGCCCCACTGCCTGCTGGGTTTAGCCCAGGGGCCATCTGAATGATGCAGATTTGATCCCTGGTCTATTTCTCCCAAGGGGTGGTGCTTGCAGGACTTCCCTTCCGAGCCAATAAATCCCAGCACAAGACAGGGCCTGGGGTGTGCAGGAATGGGCAGAGGGCGACCTGCAGTGGAAGCGCAGGGCTCTAGTAGGAACCAAGAACAAAGCATGCTCAGAGCAAGGCTGGAAGGCAAAGGAGGGGAGGGGGAGTCTCTGAGTCCTGGGCTGGGGGCTCGTACCTGTGTGGAGGATGACACCAAAGGGGCCCTCAAAGAGGAACATGACTGAGCCTGGGCAATGGTTGGCATCTATCAGGGTCACCGTCATGGTCTTTTTACCAACCTCGTCAAGGGCCACCATGTGGCTCTGCCCCACTTCCATGGGCCGGATCCAGCACTCCGCTACCTGGAAGGAAGCATAGGGCTGGTCAGGTGGAGACAGCCTCAGACCCGCTCCCTCCCAACATGGAGATGAAGCTTCCCTTCTCATTCATTTAGCAGATCTGCTGCCCTGAGGTCTAGAACCTTAGCCATTCCCTGTACTTTGTGCTTCACCCACACTTTCCTGCCCTGCCCTATCTTCCTCCAGGAAGGAGGCCCCTGTGGCTGGTCCCATGGGAGAAAATGTCCTCCTCCAGGAGTCAGGTACAGCAATCTGAATAGAGTGTCTCCCCAGGGACAGGCTCCACTCTCATCTCCTCAGCAAGCCTTACAACGGACTTCTTAGGCTGGAGAAGCAAGTCCAATGTCCCCTCTTAATCTGACTCACTCTTCATTCGTTGTGAAAAATAGTAATTCCTAACCCCCTTCAATACCTTGGTCTCCAGAGGTCCCTTCCTCATGCTAGACTTCTGAGCAGTGACTACAGGAACTATGTTCGTGCCCTTCCAACGCTCAGCTTTATTCAGCCAGGACCCTGTGTTTGGCCCCTCTGAATTTCTGTCTGACCCTGTGGGCTGGCCCCTACCTTGAGCCTGTGGTGCAGGATGCGACCCGTCACGGGGGAGCAGTAGATGGGCCGGTTCCAGGTGCTGGATAACCCCACTGTGTGGTCAGAGTGCATGTGAGAGAGAAAGAACAAGCGAGCATGGCTGGCTTTCCTGATGCTCCAAAAATCCACCGCGATGGGCGTGCCTGGGATGAGTGTGCCATTCATGGCCTGGGCGCCCGGTTGGCAGAGAGCACTGCACTGCAAAACAGAGTCACATTCCCACCATGAAAGCCCCTCAGGCTGGCGTTCTAATTCTGCTGATGTCTATCAGGGGGTGGGGAAGGAGCAAAGGGCTGAAACAGGAAGAGCTGCAGGTCAGGCATTACAGTGCCTCAGCCCAGCTATCCATGGGGATTGAACGAGAGCAGTGGGGCCGTGACTCAGGACTAGGGCAGAGCTGTGCACCACGGGCGTGTTAGGATTAATCCACTTCCTTGGCCTGTGACAGAGAACGGAACGAACCAGTCAGCTCACAAGATGCTGCAAGGTTGGGACAGCAACAGGATTGCTGGGATCAGCCTCACACACCAGTGCCAGGAACGTAGGCGAACAGCAGCGCATAGAGTGAGCTAGCCACGGCTGTTCCTGCTGTGGCCAATGACAACACTCAGCTCCATGGCGTCAGCAGCTCTGGGTCTGCTCACATGAGGACATTTTAGTGTTTCACTTCCTTCTGGTTCAGTTCAAGCCCCTGGGGTTTCATAGGCAGGTAAGACTGTCAGTTGCTGGGGGAAGCCCCCCACCAGCACAGCCACAGGGCTCCCACGGCACGA